TATGAAAAAGGTGTGTGTAAGTGTGTGTGGTGTGTGTCCACCACCCACTTTCATACTGTGCAGCTGCTACAGTTTACAGAACTGAGTGAATGAGCCAGGTCTGATAAGGACCTCCATCCTCCGAGCGTCAGCGGCACCCTTCTTCCCTCACAGATGCCATGAAGCCTGCCATCTATAAGGTGAGTGAGGAACCTGCTGTCTTAGCTGAGGCTCCGTCTTCTAGAGCCTCCCCTGGCTGATTCCACAGTGAGTCTCCCACCTCTGACCAGTTGCCCCTCCTGCTCGAGGAAACACTTTTGTGCCTTTGTTCCCAACAGCAGGTATCTCTAAGTGCCCCCGTCTCTTCCCTGCAGGTACAGTGTGTGGCGACCCTTCAGGTGGGGTCTATGCAGGCTGCAGACCCCCCTGAGTGTGGCCAGTGCCTTAGCCTGGCCTGGATGCCCACCCGGCCCCACCACCACCTGGCTGCTGGATACTATAATGGTAAAAAAACAAAACAAAAATCAGGAGTGGCTGCTCTGTATGCTTGCTTTTTGGTTGTTAACTGCCATTAGGCGCAATGTTAGACATTGTATAATTACAAATATTTAAGCACAAAAATCCCAGGGAGAAAAGCTTCTATGCAGATAATTTTCTACATGGACAAAAATTTTGCAGAGTTCTGGGGTACAGGCCAGAGATGCGGAGGGTGATAGGATTCACCAGAGATAGAATGTGGAGCAGAACAGGCAGATCAACGAAGTACACTGCTGAGGGGAGCAGCGGGCGGGCCAGGAGAGGTCTGCCGCGCCATGTGGTCACCTCTGGGGCAGGCGGTTGAACTCATGCGGAAGTGGCTTTAGCTTCTTAGTGCTGTGCTTTAACCCGCTGCGCCACCAGGGAGGGCCACTTAACGCACTTTTATAGGAAAGAGTGAAACAAGTGAAACTGAAAGACATTATGCATACTTTTAAGATCAAAAGGGGAAATAAAATATATAAATAGTGTAAGTGTCGTAGTTTTGAAGTTGTGTACAAGGGCCACTCATTTCCCGGCATCCTGGGGGGTTTGTGCTAGAAGAGAAGAGCATTCGCTCTTGCCAGACCCCCGTCTTCAGCTGTACGCTCGGGGGTGCTCCTGCATGGCCAGGCCTATGATATCTGAGGCTGCTCTACTGTCTCAGCTCCCAAGCGACGTCACCTTAGTTCTGTGGTGGTGACTGCCTCTCTCCCTCGGGCCTTTCCCTCTCAGACTCCCCCTTCATGGCTGAGTTACTGTTATGCCCAGTTGCCATTTACTGTCAGTAGTTTTTAAAGGGCAGGCTCTCAGGTGCTACATCCCCTGACTCGATACACAAAAGAGAGTTTAGCCACAGAGATTTTCCCACTGTTGTTTACTGAATCCTTACTACTCCCTTGATTGGACGCTTATTATTACTTTTCATTACCTCTCTGCCAGCCTGGTCAAGGGTCAACAAATTAGTTTCTTTTTTTTTCTTGTGGTTCTTCTGTATTTGTTGCTTTTGGCTCTTGGCATGTTATCGTTGTCTTAGAGCAGAGTTAGCAAACATTTCTGTAAGTCACCAATTAGTAAATAGTTTGTGCTTTACGGACGAGCTGGCCATGCGGAATTAGGCCGCCACTCCGAGTGAACGCAGCCACGGCTTTGGTGCGTAAGGGGATGTGGCCGTGGTTCTTACCAAACTTGACCGGAAGAGGCAAGTTAGAGATTGCCCATTGCCAGCCTGTGCCCTAGAGGGTTTATACTTTTTAAAAATTTCTTTTTACTTAATAAAGAGTAGATGCTACTGAGTGCATTCAACCTTCAACTGCAGTTCCCAGACTAAGCTACTATGTTTTTATTAATGAGAATTGGAGCTATAATACCAGATTGAGTCTTTTAAAAAAGTCACAGGGAATGTTGACTGGTTAATCAAAACTCTTATATCCTGTCATGCAGGATCACATCTGAGGGTAGAAGACAAAGGGTCCGACAGCCCCACGAAAGTAATTAGAGCAAGGAAGAGAAAACATGTTAGTGGGAAGACTGAGAGGCACACTCAGGTCCCCGAGCCTAGCTGCTCCGTATGGTTCTACCATCTACCACATAAAGACAAAGCATACTCTTAGTGTGAAAGACCCTCAGTAGAAAAGAACTTTAATACAATTAGTGTGCAATAGAGAGAAGAGAAAGAAGAGTTAAAGTAGTTTCCCTATAAAACACCCAGTTACACATCCCCTCATGGGTAAAATGCCCAGCCAAACAGAAGGCCCAAAGCAGGGCCACTGAGGCACGGAAGCTTGCACAAGTCTAAGGCACGTAGTGGTCACCATAAGAAAGGGGGTCGTGCAAGTCTGGAAGGAAAGGAGCAAAGTTAAAATATGAGTCAAGAGAAAGGCTGCCGTTGTCAGCCTCCCCACAATTCCCTCACCCACGTCTCTATTTCAAGTGTTTCCTTCCACGTCCCCCAAGTCTCTGCTCCATGTGCCTCCTCCTGGTCTTCTCTCTTCTCTAAGTCCACTCCCAGTGGACTTGCAGTCTTCTTCAGTGTCTCCTCAACATTCACTTACATGCTTCCTTGGGTGGAGGAACACAGAATCTCCTCTTTCTGCGGGGTTTACACTGTTACAAACCTGCCTTTAATATCAACACATTCTCCCTACCTCAGGCATGGTGGTTATCTGGAACCTTCCCACTAATTCACCTCTGCAGCGGATACGGCTCTCTGATGGCTCCTTGAAGCTCTACCCTTTCCAGTGTTTCCTAGCCCATGACCAGGCCGTGCGTACCCTTCAGTGGTGCAAAGCTAACAGGTGCAGTGAGAGAGCTGTGGAGGTGGGAGGTGGACGCTGGGACTTGCTGACTCTCCAGACTTGTTCATATTTCATCTTTTCCCTCTTCCACCTTTTCAGTCATTTCCTAGTCTCTGCAGGGAGTGACCGAAAGATCAAATTCTGGGACCTTCGAAGACCTTACGAACCGATAAACTCTATCAAGCGCTTCTTGAGTACAGAGCTGGCCTGGCTGCTCCCCTACAATGGTGTCACGGTGGCTCAGGACAACTGCTATGCCTCGTACGGCAGGATGAAGATAGGAGCTCTGGGAACAGGCCCTAAGGGTTGGGGTGCCAGATGGTGGGGAGAGAGGAGGGCTAAAGTTGTTTCACTGAGGTAGTCTCAAGTCTAGAAGGAATTGATGGAAAAGAAATGAATCTAATCTTAGGGAAAAAAGGAAGTTTTATTTTCTTTTTCTCTTACAGTTATGGACTCTGTGGAATTCATTACATTGATGCTGGTTACCTTGGTTTCAAGGCCTACTTCACTGCTCCTCGAAAAGGCACTGTTTGGGTGAGCCCCTCTCATCACACTCTTTATTATACAAAAAATGGTTCCCTTTACCTATCTAAGGGGAGGGCAGGAAGAGGCTGTAGTTTTGGATAGAAGAAAATAGGTATGTGGTTAACACCAGAGACGTGGATTATGAAAAAGGTGTGTGTAAGTGTGTGTGGTGTGTGTCCACCACCCACTTTCATACTGTGCAGCTGCTACAGTTTACAGAACTGAGTGAATGAGCGAGTGCGGAAATGACTGACTGACTGAAATATATCTCCTCCTATTAGAGTCTTTCAGGATCTGACTGGCTTGGGACAATAGCCGCAGGAGATATATCCGGGGAGCTCATTGCCGCCATATTGCCTGATATGGCACTGAACCCGATAAATGTCAAGCGACCTGTAGAGCGAAGATTCGTACGTATATGCATATTTAACAGCAGCACCAGCTGTTGGGTCCTGATCCTGATGCCCTCCCAAATTATTCCTACAAAGTTGTAGCTGAGTGCAAATTAATCGTTGGTCTACCAATTCGGTAATTACACTTGGGAGTCTTGGCATAATATGTGCATAATCCTCCCTCTCCTTGTGCATCTAAGCATGTTTTTAAGAATTATTCCTTTATTGTAAGATTTGTATTTATTTTGCATAGAAGAACCGGGGTGTAGACCAGAAGTTAAGGGGGTGAGAGGATTCCCCAGAAACAGGATGGGGAGCAGAACAGGTAGATCTACTGCAATACACCACTGAGGGGAGCAGCAGGCAGGACGGCAGAGGTCTGCTGTGCCACGTGGCTCAGCTCCCTGGCGGAGATCAAAATCAGGCTGTTGTGGTAGACCTTTGCGGTAGCACCAATGAGACGTAACCCCTAGATCAGAGGGAGGCCTCTGAGCATATGTTTAAACATAACTTCTTTCTAATTTAAAGTGAATTCTACTCAAAACCCAGTGTTCTTTCTCTTTTATCCAGTCTTCACTATTAAAAACCCTACCTTATTTTCTCCTTTCTAGCCTATATATAAAGCAGATCTGATGCCATATCAGGACAGTTCTGAAGATCAAGACCACTCTTCTGTTTCATCTGGGGTCCCCAACCCTCCAAAGGCTCGGACTTACGCTGAAACTGTGAACCATCACTACTTGCTTTTTCAAGACACAGATTTGGTAAATTGAGGCCAGAGGACGGGTGTGGCATTAGAAGTAGGAAAGTTGAGTCTGTATGTGTAGTGGGGATTCTGAAGGATTTGCAGCCTACAAATGCAAGGCTAAGGAGCTGCTCCTGTCTCTCTCTGTGATGCTCCCCTCTGCAGGGCTCCTTCCACGATATGCTCCACAGAGAGCCCGTGCTGCGCATGCAGGAGAGGGAGGGGCACTCTCAGCTCTGCCTGGACAGGCTGCAGCTAGAGGCTATTCATAAGGTAAGAAAGAGCCTCGTCACTCATCTTCTCTACCCTCCACTTGCATTTTCCCCAACTTTGTACCTGTGACCAGTGAAGTGGACGATGAAAAGGTTAACACGTGCAGAAGGAGCAGCCGCCTCTCAGCACGTAACACACCGCTCTTGGCTTTCTCCTGCCTCCACCGCATCACGGGTCCTGTTCTTTCAGAGGGTGGCCCATCTGTTGGCTCTTCTAGCTGGACTTTCCCTGGAGCACTAACTCTCCCCCTTTTGTTTTCTGTTCGCTTCACAGGTACGTTTCAGCCCAAACCTGGATTCCTATGGATGGCTGGTATCTGGGGGGCAGTCAGGGCTGGTTCGGATCCATTTTATCCGTGGACTCACCTCCCCAGTGGGCCATCGTATGCAGCTTGAAAGCCGAGCCCACTTCAGTGCTATGTTCCAACCGTCCTCCCCTACTGAAGGATCTGGCTTCCCTCCAACCAGCCATCGCCTTCTGTCCAGTCCCTAGTCGTGACCCACACAGGACCCTTGGAATGAAGTCTGCCATGAACAAATGGCCCCATGCGCAGAGCCGTAGGAACTGAGGCCTTCCTGGACAGTGATATTGCCAGGCCTGGACCTGTAGGCCTGCCAGGACTCTTTAGATTTCTCTCCTTCCACAGACTCATCATCATAGCCTCCTGCAGGCAGAGGGGCTCACCCTCTACAAACTTGCCAGGCTCAGCCTAAAACTATGGCTCATGAGAAACACTCAGGCCTTAACCTAGGCTTGGGAGTCAAATTGCTCATATTGAGCATATTGTGAAGTGGGTAAAGCTAAGTAAAGGTACTGGGTGTTTTTGAGACCACATGTGAGTGGGTGTTTGGAGAACCAGAAAGGGTATCTGCATGAAGGCTCCTATCTGACTGCAGGGTCCAATATTACTGCCTTCCCAAACTTCCTTTTTAGAGTAATCAACATACAGACCCATGAATGGGTGGTAGCAATTTGGACTGAAGCTCTCCTAGTACCTCTAACTGAGGACACCACAGATGCCCTAGCGCTAGAGCGGTGGCTCGGGTCTTATTTGCTCCTGCTTATGAAATATTCCCATCACTGGTTATCTGACCCTACTTGAATACTACTAGATAGTCATGTTTTAAAAACTCCATTTATATCAAGTCAGAGTATACCTCTAAATTTTACCCTGGGTATTAGGAAATCTAGTCCTCCTTCCCTGTGATTGCCCTTTTAAGTACTTAACAATAGCTATCATGTGTTTCCCAAGTCTTTTCTTCTCTAGATTAAATATCTTCAGTTACTTTAACCATTCTTTTATGATTTTGATCTTTCATGATATGGTCACACAGTTGACTTATTAAACATGTTCACCTATATGACCGCTATTATGTAGGTTTTTAGAACCCAACTAAAGCAATGTATTCTTACGTCTCAGTCTTGTTAAGAGTCCTTCTGTGGAATGCTGCAGACTCATCGTGACTGCAGTACAGTCTTCTCAGCGAGGACAGACCCCAGCAGTGAGAACCAGGCAAATCTTAGTCCTGGAATGTGTAAGGGTGCAACAGAGTTTGGAAGTAATCAGGTGACTTCAATATACAGAGAGAAAGACTCAGCCAGCTCCTACAGAAGGGAGTGGAAATTACTTTAGAGCCCACGTGGAACAGAACCCTCTGGCACTCTAGGCTAATCAACTGAAGATCTAGGAACAGCTTTCTGCCTCTTAAGTCTAGGGAATTATGTCAGAAATCACTTTAAGTATTTCAGTTTCCTCATGTACTGAAGAGAAAACAGGCCTGGAAGAAGCCCAGATCATTAACACTGAGGGGCCACAACCGTATCAGCGCAGGGGAGCCAAGTATTGCACCATCCTTTTGTGACCCAGCTCAAGTTCTACCAGTTTTTTTTTGTTTTTTTTTTGAGCTTACAGATAAATGCCTCCCATTCCAGAGAAATTTTGTTCATTCTTCACAGCAGCCCCTTGATAGTGCATTGTGAACTCTCCCATCAGGTGGTAGGAGAGTTGGTACCTGGGGACCCACACTGATGAGGGTGCTGGCCCCTGTGGATTCTCAGCCCTTAACTCTCGCCATGAGAAGCCTTTGGCCCCAGGTCGCTCCCCTCAGCCCTCATCCAGTGTATCCACTTGGTGCTATCTGTGGATTCCTACACTCAGTTGCCTTTATGTATTTATTACCTTTGTTCACATTATTCCCTCCAAGAGTGTCCTTTTCCATCTCTCCTAAATCATTCATTCATCAAGTTTCCAAGTCAAATTCCACCTTTATCAAGGAGCTTCCCAGATGTGTCTAGTAAAAAGTATTCTCTCTCCTGTGTGTTTCTAAAAGGGAAGGAAGGAAATGAGACAAGTATTACACATTATGTACTTACTCTATTTTCAGGTACTTTGCATGTTAATCTTAGGAGGTAGGTATTGCCCCACTCATTATCATTCTAAGTGATTAAGCATTCTGAATGAGATCACGTAAGTAGCAAATGAGTTACTGGGATTTGACTAACTTCAGAATACAACGTTCAACTTTAACCACACTGTTGCACACACTAGTGTAAATTCACTCTGCCACAGTGTTTTGCATATAGAAGCCTTTCAATATTGCAGAATCCTCTTCCTTACTCTATTTCTCTAGTATCTGATAATTCTTCCTGCCTTGATCATATAGGAATTAAGTAAAGTGGGGCTGGGACTAGCCAGGTGGAGATCCTGAAAGAGACTGGTCCCTGGAAGAATGGGCCTTCTGAAGGTAGTAAGCAAAGGCTCTCAGCCTGACAAATACACTGCCAGGGATTTTGTGTTACCGTGATCCTAGAAAGGAAGTTGCACCAAATTCACAGAATTTTAGACTGTTAACGCTGGAAAGGGGTTGGATCCTCTAATTGTTGGAGTAGATGTTTCTAATGTTGCTGTTCCGGGGCTCCTTTGTTTAAAAGTGGACTTTCAAACTTTTATATACATATATACTTACATATATATACACTTACGTACACATACACAATTAGTTGAAGGACCGGAAGTGATACCATTCCCCCGCATCGCCCCTAAAACCGAGAAGTCCCGTTTGAAAAACAGTCCATCATTTCACAGATGATCTTAAAGTCTAGCAATGACCAAGGCTGTACAGCCCGCTAGCTATGAAACCTTTAACTAAACCTGAGGTTCTGTAATCCCAACGCTTGTCAGGAGTCACCTACCCAGCATTGCTAAAGGCCTTTGTGGATAAAGCACTGAACTAGTTGCTGTGAACTAGGCGCGCGCGTTCGGAAGCTCCCAATTGAGGCTAGTGAAGCCATTGAAAAGGAACACCCGCGCACTTCGCCATGGCTTATGGTTTCTGAACTGATTCCTGAGACGGAGAAGGACGTCAGGACCTCGGCCATGTTCGGGGCTGGGGAACAACGAGGTGTATCTAGATTGGAGACCAAGGCAGCGGGGCGAGCGGGCGGATCCAGGTGGGAAATACTGCCCGCGAGCCCGGCGCAGGCTACTCGGGACAGTGGTTGCTCAAGTGGGGGCTGACATGTTGGGCCCGGCAATCGGCGCCCTAGTCCACCCGCGTCCTGATGGGTGGGGTCGAAGCCACGAGCGGAAGGGGCGGGGCTGGAGGCGGAAGTCCCGCCGCCCGCGCAGGTCACGCGGGAGGGGCTGAGCTCGCGTGCGTGCAGGTGAGTGGCGCAGCGTCCCGGTCCCTGGCTCAGAATGCCGTGCCCCGCTGGTCCACGGCGTTTGCAACAGGCTCAGGCCAGGGAGTGACAGGCCCTTTCTCCTGTGCGGAGCTGGACCTAGGAAGGGTGTGGGCCTGAATGCAGGGGGCAACCGCTTCTGGGTGAGACCCAGAGCAGACCTGACCTCAGTAGTGTCTTGGTGGGGACGGCGGCCCCCTGGGGACCCTGCTTCTAGTTTGGGAGGGGGGGTGGCGGCCGGCCGCCTCCGGAATTCCATAGGCGCCCACAGCCTTCCCCTTGCCAAATTGTGACCGGAAGCTGTCCGGGAAGCATCCCTCCCGAGGACTCTGCCCCTCTAGGATCTGTTGGAAACGGAGTGGGGTGGAGGGAGTGGACACAAGGGAAAGTCTAGCGTGGGGTGGAGCAGCAGGGGTGAACCCCTCTCCTCTCAGCTTGACAGGATTCATGGCACTCTGGCGCGCATACCAGCGGGTCCTGACTGCGCACCCGTGGAAAGTACAGGTCCTGACCGCCGGTGAGTGTCTCAGCATCCGAGTGGGACCAGAGCAACCTGATTTGGGAGGCAGAAGCTCGCCCTACCCAGAAGACTCCGTGAGGGCCGGCTGTCTTTCTTCCACACTACCCACACTGTTAGAGAGAGCCGGTTCCCAAGACCATTCTTTAAAAAGGGGGTATGTCTAGTTGACCTAGTTATAAAGTCGGATCTGGACGTCCTTAAAAAGCTGAGGCGTCATTTCTTCAGGATAAAGGCATCGCTCCAGGAGGCCTTAACTTAAATAACCAGCAGTAACAAATGCTCTTCTGACATCTTCCTGTGCAAAAAACACTTTCAGGACATTAATGTTATCTCATAAGATGCACTAGGTTGCTTGAACCACTTTCAATCACATTATATGTAAGTGCTGGAAATAGAACTGTTACCCAGTTTATTTTTCTTAGATTTTTAAAGTGTGAAATACACAAAAGGATGATTAAGAAGTATGTACAGTTTAAAGTATTTAAGCTAAATACTCCTGGATCACTACTCAATTTTGAGCCCCCCCCCCCAGCACTTCTCCCTAACACAAACCAAGAGATAACCACTTTACTGAGTTTGCTTTATATCATTCTTTTTGATTTTTTTGTTTAATAGGGTTCTATTACCTATGTGTGTGAATCCCCAAACAATATATTAAGCAAAGATCTAGTAATGCAATAATTGAGTTATGACCTCACAGAACTACCTAGTGACTTAGATGTGTTTGCTACTTTCTTCATTTTGCCATCACCATTTTTGTTTTGCAGGTTAGCTGCATAAAAGGGGGCACCATAGAGTAAATGTTACAAAGGAAAGTTTAGAAGGTCTGTGAGAGAGTAGTGCAGGGTGATGGAGCTGGGATGGAGTCTTCCCTGTGTGTAGAGTAGGAGAACAGAATTCTAACCAGGACTGGTGGGCCTCTGAGAGGCACACTTAGAACGGTGAACAGAGACCATGTTACTTTAATAGTTCCACCACCACTAAAAACCTCATTGGGTGACGGGCCAGGGAATGGCCTCTTGGCCCTTCCAGGGTCCCTCACCAGGCTCCTGTGCCCAACCACCCCATGTCTTGTCCTCAGAGTGTCCGCCAGTCTGTATGACTCACCTGGCTGCGTGTGTGGTGACTCATGCAGGACTGTGTGGCTGTGATGGGAACTGACACGCTGGGCCCGTTGCCCAGCCTCTGATTCCCTCAGGGCCTCTACTGCCAGAAGGAAGGTTCCTTCCCGTGGGGATCAAGAATAGGAAAAGAAGCATAATCTCTGTGTTTCCCTATCTAAAAGATCTGTAGCTGGCGAGGGTAAGAGCTGGCACTGGAGGGAAACAAGCTCAGATAAGCCAGGGCATGTCTTGTGAGAGCCTGTGGTTCCAGTCCATACCTATAGGCTTCCTGAGGTTATGGAGACATTCAGCTTAGGCCTGAAGCAACTTCTAGCTAGAGGTGTCCTCTGACTTTTCCAAGCCTTTCAGGCTTTTCTTTCCCTGCTGCTGAGTGTATTTGGATCAACTACAAATAAAGGGAGGAAGTAGATTTAGTTCACAGAGCTGTTTTCTAGAGCCCAGCACAGTAGTTCCTACAGGCCCACAGGATAACTTGTCACACAGGAAAACAGAATAGATTTCAGGCTTAGGGTGAGAAGACCATGATTTGAATAGCACTTAGCTTGTGACCAGGCCAAGTCAGTACATCAGTTTTTTCCTTTAGACCTTGCGTTCAGTTAGTTATATGACCTCATAGTCAGTATAGGAATAAATATGTGGAAAAACATTTAAAAAAATTTTTTTTTGAGTGCTGCACCAAAAAATGTTGAAGGCTAAAGGGTCTTGGCAACCCAGACACAAAAAACTTCTCTTTATAGTGGTATTGACATAGACACCTATCTAAGTTTTGCTTCTCCAAAAAGCAGGGCAGAAGCTTCTGGGCAGGTGCTTAGTTGTTAGGAATTACAAAGGAGTCCTGTGCGGGGGAAGAGGGAGAGCCAGTCTAAGGAGGCATTGCTGAGTTGACACGGCTGGCACATCTGCCTCCTCAGTCCCTGCAAACTGAGAAGCTCCCTGAAGCGTCTTCTAGGACTATATGTGAGTATAGTCTTCTCTGAGAAAAGGAGAAACCTTCCCTACCTTCGCCTGCCTGTATTGGTCAGAGCTTCACCCCAAGGGGTATTAACACCCCTGTGCTACCAGGCTGCGGAGCCCCCGTTAAGCATCCACAGCCCCAGGTGTGACATAGGCCTGAGGCCAGGATCTCGCTGAACTGCCGTTTAGTGGCTGGAGTAAGAGTGAATGAGTCAAGAAGACCGGAAATAGTTCAATAGAAGTGTTAGCCAAACCAGAGTTGGGAACAGGACAGCCTGGACAGAGATCTGTGTGTTGTGCAGAGTCTGAATCCGCCATATCCCATCCTTTCTTTGAGCCCTTCCAGTCTCCAGTGGGTCTAGGGCTCAACTCCTTTCATCTTAGACCACGCTGACCCTGCTGTGAGAACAGCTGAGCTCCTGTAGATACTGATTTCCCTGGAGTCTGAATTAAGCCTGGAGCTGAGAGCTCAACAGGGTCTAGAGACCATCTGGTCCAACCCTCCATACTACAGAGAAGGAAACCTGAGGCAAGAGGGCGGAGTGAAATGCATCGAGATCTCCTGTGTCCGTGGAGAGCTACTTCAGAACCCGGGTATTGCCCTGCACAGACGACTGGCCACAGTATGCTGAGTGGACTCTGGCTGGTCTGGACTTAGATAACTCACAAGCTGCCTGAACCCTCTGTTTTGTCTTGTTTTCTAGCAGCAGGATGGGTTCAGGCCAGGAATGGGGAGAACGTTCAGACCAGTCCCAGAGAATGCACTCTCCTCTCACCACTTAGCTTCACTGTCTCCTGGCAAAGTTTAATTGCTGGGTGACTTCTGGGGAGGGAGGTGTCAACAGCACCTCTGGTGCCATGCCAGTAGCCCTGTACCTGGTGGCCCAGGCCATCTACACTCAAGGATGCTTCCGTGCCCCCTGCATTCTCATCTACTAACACTTTATCTTCTTGCATTGGAGACGCCACACAAAAGCCAGGAGAGGAACAATGGAAGGAAAGTAGGGAATTTACCCCCACCTGTGTCTAGGAAGAGGGGATGGAAATTGGGACTTTTCCACCAGTGGGCAAGGGGCAGTCCCAGATCCTGCTGGGAGCCAGGCTACCCCCAACACCTCCCTCTGTTGGATCCGGTAGCGAGTGACGGCATGAAAACTGGCACCTACCCAGGGGCATGATGTCACATCCGCACTAGTGTCTGCCCGCTAGGCTTTGTGCCCAGCCTGGCGTTGGGGCATCACTGCCCAGCAGCACTGGGTCCTGCCCCATTGGGATGCAGGCCTTATTTCAGCAGACTGTCAGCCCTAGCCACCTGGAAACAAGTCCATGGAAAGGACAGCCAGATCACTGGAAGATCCAGATAAATCAGATATGTCCCAGATGACTCCTAGAGCCTGGGGTGGCTTGAGGTTGGTTGAGCCCTAAGGTTGGGGGAGATGGAGTGAGGAGTCTTGAGTGTCAGACCAACTGCTCAGTCGCTTGGTTCAGAAGTGCAGGCCCCGGGGCCTCCCTGGTGGCGCAGGGGGTTAAGCACAGCACAGTGAACCCACCACAGCCACTGCAGCATGAGGTCAACCCCCGGCCAGGGTCTGACCCACATGGTGCAGCAGACCTCGCCTGTCTTGTCCCCTGGTCCGCTCAGTCGTGTACTTCAGTCAGTCTGCATGATCTGCTCCCCACTCGCTCTGTCACTTGATGGTCCCTCAGATTTGAGGGGCACAATTTGGGTGCCTAGAGTCCATTTTTCTCAAAGACTATAAGCTTCACGACTATGGGGCTAGAAGCAAAGGACTTCTTTTTTCTTACTGGCTCTGTGTGTGTATGTGACTGTTGACAAGTCGTGGAGAGTGAAACACACACCTCTCTTGGTGACTGTTTCTTCCCCAAGAATATCGCTTACCCAACAAGGTGGCAAGAACAGAGGTGACCCCATTCTGGGGAGTAAAAAGACAGGAAGTGCATTCGTATAGGAAGTGTCCTTGATAACCTGCTTTTGGGGCCTTGTTTGAAGAGGAAGCCCTGCCAAGCAGCAGCCACAGTAGCCTCTTGGCATCTTCTGGCCCCTGCACCCAAGCCAGGTGCAGCTGGAAGTTCCCTCGCCTCCTGTTCCTCCTTGAGGAAAGGCCTGGGTCCAGGTCCTGACCTCACTTCTTACCAAATCACCTCCTTTCAGACATTAAATGGAAGTATGTCCTCTTTCTCTTAGGCTTTTAATGAGGACTAAATAGTGGGAGCCTTTTGTAAACTGGAAAGTCGGCCTAAGTAACCTGTTAGACTGTAAGCACCCTTCATTTAAGAAGTGGCTGCCTGTGTGGTACAGCTCCCGCTGGCCCTCAGTGTCTGCGTCACTCTTCCCTTCATGCATGGGCAAGGCAGATCCCGCCCTCCTGGGAGTGCAATCGGGGACCCCACGTTGTCAGGGGTGGGGGTGGGTAGGTATGTGCTAACTGCATGGAGAGGGTTAGCAAGCTTCCAGTCCCCACTGAATCCTCACACCTTGAACTTCAAGTGCTGCTCTTTGGGCTAGCCCTCAAGTGCTTCGTGTCCTTTTGAGGAGCAGCCCTGTTGTGGGGTGTACTGCATTAGACATTTGTCCTGGATTTATTTTCTGAGCCACAGAGGCTTGGTCAGCCCTGGTAGGGAATAAGAGAACAAACATACCTACTGTGCTGTCATTCTATCCTTGCCCTTCGGGGGGTTCTACCTCGCCATGTTCTGTGAAGACCCTCCATCATTTGGGGAGTTCCAGGGAGAAGAGAGGCAGGGAAGCCTTTGTGGGTGAGTGGGGGTAGAGCTGTGCCTTGGCTGGAGTGCTGGCAGCCTGGGTCATCAGTAGGTGCCAGCCCCACCCAACTTCCTCTGACGAGCTTCTCAGAGGACATGAGGGGTGTGGGGGAAGAACAGTGAGTGTGCAGCCGGCGCAGACGTCAGAGGCAGCTCCGGGCCAAGGCATGGCTTGAAGGATGTGTTTGCCCAGTGCTAATGGAGGGCACAGGGACGGCAGTGGCTGGGGCGCTGAGGGGACTCTCGTTGCTCAGTGAGACCCGCAGGCGAGCCAGAGGTCATCCTGTCGCTCCCAAGCGGCCCCTGACATGCGTGTTTGTTGGGAGCCATCATGCCACTTCAGTTACAGGGGCTCTGTAAATAGTGATTATTTCTGTCTTGGTTTCTGGGTGTGGGTGTCTGACTGGGTCTGCTTGGAGCTGGGTGTGCAAGTGAGGGGAGAAGAAGTGGGTGTAGAGGCCTGGGGGAGACCCGGCAATAACACCAGTTCAATCTGTGTGGGGAAGGGGGGAGCCTGGACTTGGCTGATTGTGCTTCGTGGTGGCCCGGTGGCCATGCCGCTTTCCTGGGCGGGTGCCTCAGTAGCTCCCCACTTGTCTTCTTTCTGCCTGGTGCCTTCAGGTGCTCATTATTTGAAAACAGTTGTTCTTGCTATTCTCCACACGAATGGACTCTAATACCGAGGCAAGGACATTGGCCCAAATTTTGCCTTGGGTGGGGGCAAGAACTAGGGTTCCCTGCCATTGCACACTGACCTGTTGTAGCAGTGTCCTGGAGAGCGCTGCGTCTAGGAAAGTGAGCCACCTGGCTCTTGTGTTGACTCTGCCACTTAATGGTTATGTTAAGTCCTGGGCCTTCATCTCCACGATTCTAAGGTAAGGGGCTTGGGAGAAATTACCCAGAAGGTGTCTCCAGTTCTGACACTTGCCACCTCGCAGCCCCTGAACCTTAGATTCTCCTCTCTGGCTCTGACTTCCCTTCGCAGCCCGGTGTGGGATTCATAGGCCCTGTCTGCTCCAGGCTGCTCATCCCCATTTCTCGCAGGACATGAGGAGCCGTGTGCATCTTTGGAGAAGAGAGCTTGGCCCCAGAGTTAAGCCCCCTTCACTTAGCCCACTTATCTCCCTTTTTGCAGGCTTCTTTCCCAGGAAGTGTCCTGACTCTGCTCATTTACCCACAGGGCTGCTGATGGGCCTGGGGGATGTCATCTCCCAGCAGCTGGTGGAGAAGCGAGGTCTGCGAGAGCACCAGACTGCTCGGACTCTGACCATGGCCTCTCTGGGCAGTGGCTTTGTGGTGAGTTCTGCCCAGGGCTGCCATGTCATCCTTCACTCTCCGTTGGCCTCTGTCACGTCTAGCCAACCTTGAGTGTCTGCTTCCCTTGGGACTTGGTTTCTGACACTGAGGAGGAAGAAATTTGTGACCTAACAGCCAAGTCTCCTTTCCCTGCATCCCTACTCTGCCAATTGGGCTTTCCTTCCAGGGTCCGGTAATAGGAAGCTGGTACAGGGTTTTGGACCGGTTCATCCCTGGCACCAGCAAGGTGGCTGCGCTAAAGAAGATGGCGTTGGATCAGGTGAGCAAAAGAAAGATGGCCGGAAGGGGGAACTATGTTGGGGAACGCTGGGGCTGCAGGTGCTCAAAGAATTCTAACTTCTCTTCTCTAGGGGGGCTTTGCCCCGTGTTTTCTCGGCTGCTTCCTCCCACTAGTAGGGGCTGCCAGTGGGCTGTCAGCCAAGGACAACTGGGCCAAACTGCAGCGGGTGAGCTGGGCAGGATTGGGGAAGCTCTTGGGCTGGCAGGCTGGCAGTGCCAGGGGGGTGAGACTGTCTTCATGGCCCCGGAAAGGGGGACATGCACGTAGAGGCCCAGGCTCTGGAGGAGTGGGGCAGGGGCGCATGTGTGGGAACATGTTCTGGAACTATCCCACTCCAGGTGATAGACCAGGAGGGGGTGCTTGGAAGTGCAGGCAGTAATGTCTTCCTTTTCTAACTCCTCAGGATTATCCTGATGCCCTCGTCACCAACTACTATGTAAGAGCTGACACCTCAACTGCCTCTTCTTCTGCTTTCTTGAGTCCAGAGGTGCCCAGGGATTGTGGGTTCTCCTGACATAGGAACCCCACAGTTGGGCTCCCTCTCCTGCCCCAGTTGGGCACCACACTCAGGTGCACTCGCCTGGTTGTCCATCTTGTTCTGTCTGCAGAGGTCGGGCAAGACTAGGCAAGGCAGCAAGGCTGGGCAGGGGTGGGGGGGTTTCAGGTAATTGGGGCAACCCCCCAACCTTTGCCTTCTCTCTCTCGTAGCTCTGGCCTGCTGTGCAGTTAGCCAACTTCTACCTGGTCCCCCTCCATTACAGGTAGGACAATTCCCTAAGCTGCCCACCAAGGAAAGTCCATGTTACCAACATCTGGAGACAAAGTGGTTCTCATTTCAGCCTTGCATTACATTGGATGGCCCAGAACGCTTTGCCCTGATCATGCTCCTCAGGCCTCCGGGCCTTTTATTGTGAACTTCCTGCCCATTATGACCTGTTCCCGAGTTTCTGCCTTTTGTCAGAGCAGATCCTGTTCCACAAGCCATGTCAGCGTCCCCCTGAGTGTGCTCTGTTTGCCGGCCTGTCTGCAAGGGCTGTGCCTGGGGCAGACACCTAGGTGAGCCAGAGGTAGACCACAGAGCCAGTAGGAACCATGCAGGCAAAGTTAGTCCACTGCAGAGAGTATGTCTTACACTAGTCATCAAGGTAGTTGCTGAACTGCACTAAAGAATATAGTACATCTTACTTTCAGTGGTTAAAGTTTATGTAGGTGAGGCAGGATGCTTTGGAAACAGAAAAATATAAAACTTCAGAGAAGACAGGGTCAAATTTTAAAATGAAAAACATAGCTAAAAGGAATACAGACTTAGGAACCAAATCTGAAGCCTTAGGGTCCTGGCAACGCTCTTTGAAACGACAGCAAAGTGAATTTAAAATAAAGGGGAAGCATTACTTTATATGGCAGGCAGTACGTTTTTGGAAGATGAATTCTCCCCAGCTGGTACAATGTGGAGAAAGTTGTGTATTTGGGAGGGGCCTGGTCAGGGATCTGGAGGACAGAGTCATTCACGGCAAGGGAGCTGCTGAAAGGATTTGACTTGGAAGCTGTTGTCCAGAAGACGGAGCTCTGTGACAGCTGCAGAGCCTGAACTGGCTGTCTCTGGTCTGAGCCACGCCCCCCCGCCAATGGAATCTGGACATGCTCAGAGATAACCCCCCCTTACCATTGCATCCCCCCTTGCCTGCCCCTTCTTGCTCTTCACGATGCCTTTCCTGTTCCTTAGGTTGCCTGTTGTCCAGTGTGTTGCTGTTATCTGGAACACTTACCTGTCCTGGAAGTCACATCGGTCCTAAGCCTGCCTGCCTCCCTTGTTTCCGCCTTGCAGTGATGTAGCTTACCCCTGGAATGGCCAGGCAACCTCCTCAAAGTGTGCTTATTAGTTTTCATTGGTAGCTTGTCAAAAATTAATGGGTTAGCACTTTGAAATGGCTCATCTCACCCTTAAATGTAACCTGATTCCTTTCAAAGTCACTGAAACCTTTATAATGGTCTTAAGCCCAGCACATAGTGGGTACTCCAAAAATACTGGTTGAACAGTATGACTTATCAACTTTAGTTTATTGCCTCTCATCCTTACTCTTCATAGACCCATTTGTTTCTCTAACTCTTCCCAGCCCTGGCTCTAGCTTTTGGGAAACTGTCCCTCAAACTTTTTGATTGGCACCTCCATAAATAATAAATACATAATCTAGAGCTTGCAGAGGCATAGTAAAACCCAGCAGAAAACTGTTGGGGAATCAAAACTTCTAAAGCTGGGGAAAAAACCTCCAAGGAGCTAGGCAAAAGAGTTCACCAAGCCCAGTCCACTTTTCAAATGAGGATGGTGAGGTCCACAGAAGTGAGGTGACCTGTCCACATTGCTGGTTAGTGGCAGGTAGAAAGTTGAACGCAGGTCAACACCCTCTCCCCGCCAGTGTTCGCAACCTCATGTCCGAAGTGATGGCGTTTGGAGTGGGACCTTTGGGAAGTGAGTAGGTCGGGAGCAAGGCCCTCATGGGGTTGCTGCCTCCACGAGAAACCCCAGAGAGCACCCTCCCCCCTGCTACCCTGTGAGTCACCAGCCATGAACTGGGAAAGTGGGTCTTCAGCAGACACCGACCCCACTGCTGCCATGGTCTGGGGCTTCCCAACCTCTGGAACTGAGAAATAAATGTATGTTGCTATATATAAGCCACCCAGATTATGGTGTTTTTGCTCAAATGGACTAAGACACGAAATTTCCTTCCTACCTAGTGGTCTTAATCTAGAGGGTGAAATGTGTAATAATTCTGCTGCAGTGGTTCCCAGGAGAGAACTAACTTGGCTAGGCTACCACTTTGGGGCAGACTCAAGCAGATGGCTTAGCCTTTTTATGGTCTGTAAGCACCCTGAGGGCAGAGACCTTTTTTGGAGGGGCGGGGCGGTGGTGGGGAGAGACTGATTGCAGTCAGCTAACTAGAATTTGGATCCTAAAGCTAAAGTATGA